ACTATGGCCTCGGATTTGGAGGCACTGAGCCTCATCCCGGCCGCTTCACACTCGGCTGCGAACCGCTCCAGCGAGAGCTGCAGATTATGACGTTCCGATGAAGCCAACAGGACAATATCATCCGCAAAAAGCAGAGATGCGATCCTAAGGCCACCAAAACGGATCCCCTCAACACCTCGGCTGCGCCTAGAAATTCTGTCCATGAAAGTAATGAACAGAATCGGTGACAAAGGGCAGCCTTGGCGGAGTCCAACTCTCACCGGAAACGAGCCCGATTTGCTGCCGGCAATGCGGACCAGACTCTGACACCGGTCGTACAGGGACCTGACAGCCCGTATCAAAGGGCCCGGTACCCCATACTCCCGGAGAACCCCCCACAGGGCCCCATAGGGACACAGTCTAACACCTTCTCCAAGTCCACAAACCACTTGTAGACCGGTTGGGCGAACTCCCATGCACCCTCCAGGACCCTGCTGAGTGTAGAGCTGGTCCAGTGTTCCATGACCAGGACGAAAACCACACTGCTCTTCCTGAATCCGAGGTTCGACTATCCGACAGACCCTCCTCGCCAGGACCCCTGAATAGACCTTACCAGGGAGGCTTAAGAGTGTGACCCCCCTGTAATTGGAGCACACCCTCCGGTCCCCCTTTTTAAACAGAGAGTCTGCCAATCCAGGGGGACTGCCCCCGATGTCCATGCGATATTGCAGAGACGCGTGAGCCAACACAACCCTACAACATCCAGAGCCTTAAGGAACTCCGGGCGGATCTCATCCACCCCCAGGGCCCTGCCACCGAGGAGCTTTATGACCACCTNTTTTTTAAGTCAATAATTATTCATAGTAATTAAACATAATAATAAAAAATGAGTTCAACTTGCAGTTCTTATAATGAGAACAATGTCTTAGTTTAAATGAAATAATCTTAATCCTGGTATTTTTCCATCATTATTAATGAATTGTTGACTTTTATATGTTGATGAAAATCTACAGTTACTTTAGTTTATTTCTCAGATATTTGAACTAAAATAACAATAACACTTGTTGCGATTCAGTTTTTACAGTGAAGATGGATGAATGTTGCTATAGGAACCATTGTGACTCAAAGCTGGTTCTGTTTGGTTGAACTGTCCAGTTAATCGACCGTCAATAACTGATTATTATATCTGTTTGTGATCAGTTTCCGGAGGTGATCTCCCTGAACGTGGGGGGAACGCTCTTCACCACGCGCTTGTCCACACTGCGGCGCTATGACGACACCATGCTGGCCGCCATGTTCAGCGGGCGCCACTACATCCCGCGGGACGCCGAGGGCCGCTACTTCATCGACCGGGACGGCGCTTACTTTGGGTGAGCTCCGACCGGAACCAGCACGCAGTCAGAGCTTCCTGCGACTACCAGGACAAACGGCGACATCGTGTTGAAGAAAGTTTTAGTTTCTAAAAATCAAACGGTGTTTTCTGAGAGGCAGCTCGTTAAATCCTGACACATTTTCATTGAGAAGCAAACGGGCTGCGTCAGCATCGTTTCAGTGACGTCACCGCTGTGCATTTCTGCATTAAGTGGAAAATCCGTGAATGAAACCAGAAAGAACGAACGAAACGCTGCAGAGGATTTTCATGTTTTTCAGAACTTCACTGAGTCAGGAATCTCATGAAAAGAAGATTATTTTTCCCACATAATCCTGGCATACTTATGAAGTCATGTTTTTCAGTTTACAGTGCGGTCGCGTTAAAAAGATGCAATGTGGTGAAGCGACCACAAGGAGGCGATAAAGGACCAGATTAAAAATCTCCGTTCCTACAGTTTTAAGCAATTAGTCTCTTATGATTAACTTTTCACTTCTTTAAATTATTTTTAATAGTTTTTAACTTCTTTACTTTTACTGTTTCAACATTAACATTTAAGTGACTGAGGAAAACGGTTTTATGTCATAGATCTGTTGCAGATTAATAAAAATGAAGTCTTAGTCCTTATACAGTAAATTATTATTAACCAGCAGACAAACTGTCTGTCTGAAGTTAAATTAGACAAAATTTCTCCTGTTTTAGGTCAGTTAGAATCACATTATTTGCTAAATAATTTGTGTGTGTGTATATATATATATATATATATATATATATATATATATATATATATATGCACATTTTATATATATATATATATATATATATATATATATATATAATATATATATGCACATTTCTGGACATCTCAGTCCAGAAATGTGCAGTTCTAGGCACAGCCAAGATACTGGAGGAGAACCTGAAGCTCCCAGGCCTCTGAGTGAGTGAGTGAGTGAGTGAGAGAGAGAGAGAGAGAGAGAGAGAGAGAGAGAGAGAGAGAGACCCCCCCCCACCCCGGGAGGGTGAGAAGGGAATTTATATATGTATAATATAATTATTTATATTTGCTAAATGCTAAAATCACAAGAGAGAAAATTTGTCAGGTTTAATTATTAATGTCTTTAATTAGTTTTTGATTTTGAACTACATGACTTGGGTCAAACCTTTGAATTTTAGATAACCAAACAGTAAAAGAAGTTTGGTCCAGTTTAACTTCAGACAGTGGGAGAAAAAAGTTTTTTTTCATTGAGAGAGAACGTTTTTTATTGGGTGGATTTTATTTTCATCTTTCAATGTTTGCCCGATCACAGCCTGTCTTTATTTTAAAAATACATATTCATATTGTTTCTTTATTTTTTTTTAAGAGATGGTAATCATTTTGGTACGTAAACTTTCTATTCTGAAGACATGAAAACATCTGTCATAAATTTAGTAAATGGAAATAATTTTGGAAATTCTAAACGACCTGAAACTAAAGAAATTCAGCCTAATTGAAAAGATGGAGGGCTGCACAGTGGTGCAATTGGTAGAGCTGTTGCCTTGCAGCAAGAAGGTTCGGGTCCGATTGCCGGCCCGGAGTCTTTCTGCTGTTCGTCCTGTGCATGCTGGGTTCTCTCCAGGTACTCCAGTTTCCTCCCACAGTCCAAAAGCATGACTGTCAGGTTAATTGGCTTCTCCAAATTCTCCCTAGGTGTGGCGAGTGTGTGTGCATGCCTATATGTCCCATCTGTCTCTGTGTTGCCCTGCGACAGACTGGCGACGTGGACAGGTGACCCCGCCTCTCGCCCAGAACGTTAGCTGGTGAGACAGCAGCACCTCCTGACCCTTTAGGGAAAAGGTGGAGGAATCTTTTTATTCAATGTATGTAAACTTCTGGTTTCAGCTGAAAGACTTTATATTCAATTCAGTCTCTAAAAACATAAATGAACCAAAATGGAAATTTGGTAGCTCAGTTTTACAAAAAGCAGACTAGAAAACAATTTTTTATTTCTTGATTAAGTTTAAAACTACCAGAAGCCAGTTGAGTCATTTTAGACCTCAGATTTAATTTGATACTAAGAATACAGAATTGACTTTGAATGTCCATCCATCCATTTTCTTCCACTTATCCCGGGTCGGGTCGCGGGAGCAGCAGCCTAAGAAGGGAGGCCCAGACTTCCCTCTCCCAGCCACTTGTTCCAGCTCTTCCAGGAACCCCAAGCCGTTCCCAGGCCAGCTGAG